TTTTGGACAGCATTCTCAGAGCATGTAACATTTACTTTGATGGCAAAGCTGTGGAAAGAAAGGTTTTGATTGAGTGGTTATGAATCAAAAACCAGGTAAGAAGCTTGACTTTTAGGCATAATTTCTACCCTGTTAATCCTCCTATAGCTCTTTAGGAAATGAGATAGAGAATAACCCATTCTTAGTGGGCTGAAGAGGCGCAAAATCTGAAAAGTTAGCACGTATATTGGAAGTTAAATTTCCATTTCATACAATTAGAAAATAGGACAGACTATTACAAAAACAACTATGGACGTTAGGAAAAGGAATATTTCTTAAAGAACACGCACCTATAAATCAGAGAAGATGTTATCCTAACATTATTTGAAGTTTCAACAACTCAACATTGGTACAATTAGTGATGGCAGTCCCTCCGGTCCAGTGTTCTCTCACGCAGGTGTTCTGCACACCACGTTAGTAGTCACTCTCAGGGTCATGACTTCCATCTTGCCATCATCCATCACCTCACCTCCAGAGGCAGAAATGACAGCATTTCACCTTCTGACCACAGCCTTCCATTATTCCAGATCACGTGGTCGTCACTTTCCACTACTCTGAACCTCACTGGCACAGACAGGTTCCTCACGCTCTGCTCCTCCCAGTACCCTGGGCCTCTACTCTTACCATTCCCAGCTTAGATTTCTCTTTCCTCAATGGCCAGTCCCCCCACTTGTATTTCAAATTCCATCTTCCCATTTTTTCTCCAGTTCTTTACAGTATTAATAACCCCTTCTCTGTCTTGTAACTTCATTCTACTTCTCACTGAATCCTCCCATTAGCTTTTAAATATATTAAAGACTCTCCTATTAAAATAACTAGAGTTGGTTCTCACACACTGCTCCAGCTACCCTTCGGTATCTCTCTCCTCCACCCTCAGAGTCCTTCAGAGAAGATTTGGAGTCACGGCATCCATTTCCTCATCTCCCACTTACTGCCCAATCCATTCCTATGTAGCCTCTGGCTCGAAAGAGGTATTCTCAACACCTTTCACTGAAGTCACCAGTTTTGAGATTCCACTTATAAGTGAGATCATGCAGTATTTGTTTTTCTCTGTCTGGCTATTTCACTTAGCACAGTGCCCTCAAGGACCATCCATGTCATGGCAACGGGAAAGATTTCATTCCTTTTTACTGCTGAATAACTTCCCACATTCTATATATATAGTGGATATCTATATCTATATATCACATCTTCTTTATCTATTCATCCATTAATGAACACTTAGGTTGTATCCATATCTCAGCTATTATAAATAATCCTTCAGTGAACATGGGGATGCATCTATCTTTTCAAGTTACTGTTTTTGTTTTCTTTGGATAAATATCCAGAAGTGGAATTGATGGATCATATGGTAGTTCTATTTTTAATTTTTTTTTAAAGATTTTTATTTATTTATTTGACAGAGGGAGACACAGCGAGAGAGGGAACACAAGCAGGGGGAGTGGGAGAGGGAGAAGCAGGCTCCCCGCAGAGCAGGGAGCCCAATGCGGGACTCGATCCCAGGACCCTGGGATCATGACCTGAGCTGAAGGCAGTCGCTTAACCAACTGAGCCACCCAGGCGCCGTATTTTTAATTTTTTGAGGAACCTGTATACTGTTTTCCACAGTGGCTGAACCCATGTACATTCCCACCAACAGTGTACAAGGGTTCCCTTTTCTCCATATCCTCACCAACACTTGTTATCTCTTGTCTTCTTTTTAATAGCGGTTCTAACAGATGTGAGGTGATATCTCACAGTGGCTTTGATTTGCATTTCCTTGATGATGAGTGATGTTGAACATCTTTTCAAGTAGCTGTTGGCCATCTGTATGTCTTCTTTGGAAAAATGTCCATTCAGAGCCTCTACTCATTTTAAAATCAGACTGTGTTTTGTTTTGTTGTGCTATTGAGTTGTATGAGACCTTCATGTATTTTGGATATCCCCTCCACCCCAAGTCCTTTTTCCCTGTTCCCTTTTCATTGACTGGTACCACCATTCATTTGGACATGCTAGTTTATCTCTCATCCTATCTGCCACTGAATTCTGAAATTTTTACCTCTGGAACATCTTTTGAATTCTTCTATCAGTTTCCACCATAGTCTAAACACCATTTTTTATGTGGTATATTGCATTATTAGCCTTAAAAGTGACCTTCTTGTATGCAATCTGACCTTCATCCTGGCAGAATATGAATCTGATGATACCACCCCTTGGGCAAGACACTTCAGAAATTCCCCTTGACATTTAGGATAAAGACTCCATTTCTAAACATAAGTCACCTGTGCCTGTATGATCTGGCCCCTCCCTTAAACTCTGGCTTTCTCCTGCATCACCTCCCTCACTCATCTATGCTCCAACCTCTCTGGCCATGCTCTCTCTTGCCGCAGAACATTCTCACGTGAGGCTCCTTCTATCTGGATTACTCTTTTACTCCTCCACTACTTACCAAGTTGGCTCCTATCTTCCCACAATATAAGCTCACTTTACCTCCTCGAGTCTGCCTTTGTGGACCCCCCCTTGCATCTATTTCTTGGCACTCATCACTGATAATTTTACATTTGCTTCTATTATTATTGTTAGCCAATAATGCCTGTCTTCCCTACTGGACTCAAGCTCCACAAGGTCATGGATTATGTCTGTTTTTGCCAATCATTATTACCATATAGTCCCAGGCAAGAGAATGTAATAGGAGCTCAATAAATATTTGTTAGATGGAAGATTGCTTATATTGCTTTACAACATATTTTTCTATGTAAAAAAAGCAGTGTGTGATTACTGGTAGGTTTGCACTGTCTTGAGAGTTGTCTTGAAGTGGCCAGCAGAAACTTTGATGGCATACACAAAAGGGAGTGTACGTAGCAGGCCACTGTGTGTGTTCTTTCAGAGTAGGTTGTGGATATAGTGGCCCAATTTCTCAGAAGAAATAAATTGTGGCTCCCACCTTATTTCCTCGCTAGCCACATAAAAAGCAGACTAAATGGAATAAGTTAATTTAGCACCGTTTCAAGTGAAGTTTCACACTATTCCTGGGATGGGATAGCATTATAGGATAGTCAAGATGATCTAAGATTGGCTGTGGCCAATTGCAGTTGGTGTTCTTCCCTATACATTGGGAAGCATGTCGAAGTTTCAAGAAGTGTTAAATGGCTGAAAACAAGTAAAAAAAGAAAAATCTTAAAAGCAGCTAGCGAAAAAAAGACATATTCCATACAGAAGAACAGTATAACAATGGAAGCTGAATTCTAATCAAGAGGACAACACAATGACATTTTTAAAGTGTGGAAAAAACCCTCTCAACCTAGAATTCTATATCCAGTTAAAGTATTCTTTAAAAAAAATGAACAGAAAGCAAAGGCATTGTCTGATCCATGATCAAAGAAGAAATCACAAGAGAAATGGGAACTTATTTTGAAAGGAATGTTAAGGAACACCCATTGTATAAAAATTTGTGGATACAGTTAAAATGGTAGTGAGAAGGAAATTTATAGCATTAAATGCTTTCTTAGGAGAATAAAGGTTTAAAATCAATCACTTAAGCTACTACCTTAAAGAGCTGGAAAATGAAAAGAAAATTAAACTCAAAGTAGAAAACAAGAAGGAGCAAAGAGTAGAAGCCAGTGAAGTAGCAAATAGAGAAATAATAGAGGAAATCAATAAGGCCAAAAGTTGGTTCTTGGAAAAATTTAATAAAATTGATAATCCCTCAACCAAGAAATAGAAGGGATATAATACAAATTACCAATATCAAGAATTGCATTAAATTAGAATTATGAGCTTTGAGAAGAAATCATAGATGGATTTTTTTTGTAATCTTGGAATAGGCAAAGACTTCTTAGAGAGGACACAGAAAACACTGACCATAAAAAAATGATAAATTGGATTTCAAAACTTAAAAAATTTCATTTTATTAAAATACACCATTAAGAAAATGCATACAAAGCCCCCAGACTAGGAGAATAAATAGTAAGTTGTACTTTTACATAATAATGATATAGGAAGTACAATGAAAATAATATTCCATTTATATTGTAATGTATAAAATATTTGAATTCCAGGCATAAACTTCTAACAATGAAACAAAAGGAAAAAATAATTGGAAAGTCATACCTTATGCTTGGTTGTATAGACTATAATAAAGATGACAACACTTCCTAATTTAGTAAAGATATTTTAATGTAAGACTAATTGATTTTTCTCAGGATATTTTACATA